GTTTATTACACTCTCTTTTTATTCGCGTCTTTTAGTATTTAGCACAATTTCACCGCCCTAAATATTAAGATCAACTATTTTTTATTTAATTATTTAGCCGGAAGTATTATATTTATTTATTGATCAATATATTTGAAGTAATCTTCACTAATTTCTTTTACGCCTTTAATTTTTTTTACTCATGACAATTTAGTCTATACATTACTTCCCAGTTAGTCCTTTAATAGCCGGTAAGTGTAACGATTAATGTACATTATTTAAAATAATAATTTAGTCGATAGATTATTCTCTTACTCTGCTCTGGTAATTTTATTAATTAAAGTAATATTAATTAAAGTATTTGGAATAATTTTTACAATATTATTACGGTGTAAACCCATTGAATAAGTCTTTTTGTGAATGAATTATTTGAAGAACAGTATTCTTTTTTTTTTGAGTTTTTAATAAATCTTACATATTTCTTGAAATTTTTAATGAATAGCTTTTTAATTGTTCAAATCATAATGTATTAACCTATTTTTTAACAGATTTAAATCAAACATGATTTTTAAGATAGTGTTTGCTATCACCAGCCAACACCTTAAATGAAGTTAGAATGCTCACGGGTAAACTTGGAGAATATGTGTATTTAAAAATTTATTTCTTTGAGAATAGTTGGTATAAGACATACCGTAGGTTGCTAGCACTAAATCACCTATTTCTTCGAATTGTAGTAATAATGCTTTGTAAATATACTTGGTAATAACAGACTAACCTATATTCAGATATTTTTATAAAACAGAATCTGCAATAGCGAAGTAACTATTCTCGAAAAGGAAGTTTAATTTAGATATTATATTTTTCTATGTATCAAATTGTATTTTGTAATTCCTTATCTAGAAATTTAGAATATATGCATTTAAAAGCCGTCGGGTCAACATGCAGAGAATTGGATAACGTTAAGTAGTCATCCCTTATATTTTTATCTCTTATTGAAAATTTAGAACATATGTATCCAAATGTCGGTCAACATAATCATGCAGAGAATATCTGCAGAAGTGGTTAACGTTAAGTGACTATCCCTTAAAAGAAAATTTAGTATAGATACCGTATCTAAACTTTACTAAAATTAGTTATGTACTTGTATATTTTTTATCACTTAATTTAGAAATTTAAAATATATGTATTCAAAGACCATCGGGTCAACATTGTGCAATTATATAAAATAAAAAAAGAATTGTTTACAAAAAAATATTGCAGTAAATATAGTTGAAATTTTTATTTAAATCGAGATTTTTAACCTTACAAAAACTTCAAAATTCGAATTGAATTTTAATTACATTTTGAATTCCACAGTCAATTAAATTATAATCTAACCTATATTTCAAATACAAAAATGAGTGAAAGCAGTTCATCCACCCAAACCTCAAACACTAAAAAATGTAGCACTTGTCACGTAGTAAAACAAAAAAAAGAATTCTTGCGAATTCGTGATGATAATCTACAATATGAGTATAGGACCTGTAATGCATGCAGTATAAGGCGTAGTAATAAGAGACAAGAAATAAATCAAGCAAATAACATTCAAACAGAAGCTAACCTTGACATAATAGTTCCAACCATTAGTACTTCTATTTCTGGAACTAATAATGCTTCAGATTTTGTAACATTCTTGGAGATTATGAAGTAGATCAAACAAATAGTACACAAACAGAGACTGGCCTTAATGTAATAGTTCCAACTGCTAATACTTCTATGTTTGGAATTAATAATGCTTTGGATTTTCTTCAAATTGATAATATCATTGAAAATTATTTTGAACCAATATCAGAAGCTAATAACGAATTTGATATAGAAATAACAGAACATGACGATGACACTGATACATTCACATATTGCATGGATGAGGTAGAAAGATATATTTCTACACAATTTCGAAATGCTAAGTCATCTGATGAACCCGTAAAATTTGCATTTGATATTGAATTGGATTCAGGGCTTTTAGATGCTGTTGCACTTAGTTATGATCTCGAGAATGATTCATTAAACCTGGATAAAATTAAAACTAGCTTTGCACAACTTACAAAAATTCTTACTTTACCTTTAGAATCTGGTTCTAAATATTATTGGGAAGTACGGAAATTATGTTTAAGCTTTAAAAGAAAAAAATTTGCAGGAAGCGCTACTGCATATCTTCATTGTGCATCTCGTGATAACCGAGCCTGGCAAAGACCAAATAACCAGGAGATAAAAAGGCGAAGTAAAGCTCGCCCTGCAATACAACGATTTTCCTGCAAAGGAAAAATTACAATTAATATAAATATACTTCAACAATGTGCAAGTATAAAATGTGAACATTTGTGCTTACACGAATTTCCATCATATCGGCAAACAGAGTTCCCAGAAGAGGCAAAACAATGGATCCAGAGACATCTTAATTATAATATGCGATGCTCAGACGTATATAGACATTTAATTGAAAATAAGTTAATTAATTTAATACATACAAAAGAACAGGTATATTACTGGGCATCATTTTATAGTAAGAAAATATACCTTATGAATCAAGATAATCAGCTTTTATCGTCTAAAACATATCTTGAACAATCCGAACTTGTAAGTAGGGGGTTTAAAGTTCTTTCTTATTTTGATAATAATTTCGTGCGAGCTTTAGGGTTTGTTACTCCACTATTATATCGAATTGGTGTAGAAAAAATAAATGAAGTTATAATAGATTCTACATTTAAAACAAATCAGGAGCGATTTGAACTTTTTGTTGTAAATGCTAACTGTGGTGGATATGGAATGCCACTAGCATATCTATACTTACTTATATTAAATAATCCTGAAGTAATCCAGAAGATAGAATTACTACTCGTTCACAAGTTCTTGAGAAATTTTTCATTGATCTTCGTGAGGAAGGATTATTGCCTTCATTCGTATTATTAGACAAAGACATTGGTGAAATTTTAGCTGTCAGCGTAGCTTGGTGGAAAGCAAATATTCAATTATGCTATTGGCATTTAGAACATGCTATTAGCAGACGTTTGAAAGACAAAAAACCACAGTCAAATACTTATTCTGGAGAAAAAGCGTTAGAAGCCCATCAACAATTTGGTTTTATAGACCCATCGTGGATTCCAACTAGTAGTATTAAAAGCCTATGTTCAGAAGAAGTATCAAAAGAAATTATTAATATAATAAAACGGCATGCAAATATGCATCCATTAATTCCAATAGAAAAAAACATTTTTTGGGACTCAGCTCAAATTTATTACCATTGCGTAAAAGAAACTTACTTTTTTTGCTATGATTACAAATGTTGCGAATTGTGGGGATATCTTTGGCTAAATTGGTACAATAAAAAAAATTGGATGATGTTTGCTCGATCTTCTTATCCTCTTGCGATACCTTTAGCTCAAACAACCATGATTACAGAAAGTCACTGGCGAGTACTTAAGTACAGATATAAATATAACTATAATCGGCCCGGCTTGATCGTCTTACCCATATTCTTGCTGAACAACTAGTACCAGACTCTGATCTTATAATGTCCCACTATGAAATGAGTCGGCATTTTCCATTTTGGTGGCAGGCTTTTAAAAAAGATTGGGATAAGGTTAGGTCAACAGATATTATGCCTAATATGGATGAAAGATATCATGTGGATATAAATAATTGGGTATGTTCTTGCCTGGCATATGTAAATAGTCGTTATCTTCTTTGCAAACATTTGGTTGCAAAGAAAGGAGAAGATTTTTGGCCTATCTTTAATGAAACAACAAGACGGCATGATTATCCATTAATTGTCTTTGGCAATAATAAACCTTCAGCAATCTTTCAATAAAATAATCCGTGGAAAAGAGCTAACACAAATATTTCAGATGCAAATTTTGCTCTTAGAAATCCTGTTGTGGAGGGTAGTCGTTCAAGTAATTTGCAGAATACATCAATAATAACACATGAAAGTAAAATGGAAGAAAGAAAAGAAAAATACACCTACTACGCAAAGAAGTTTGAGAAGGTATTAGAATTGTATAAAAGAGAGATAGATAATGACAATTTTGTAAAAAACTTTGATACCTTAGTAGGACCATTTGTAAAAGCAGTTGGTGAATGTGAAGAAGCCTTGCAAGCTCGTAATCAGCAAGGCACACAAAGATTAGGCAATAAAAAGCTTGCTTTTTGGTTGCGTTAGCTAATATCTTGATTGAATTTTTAATTAGCCCGATCAAATTAATGTGCACTATATAATATTTTAAATATTCAAATAAAAAAAAAATTTAAATTATTCAAATACCTCAATTAATAAATGATTATTCATATATAACGAAGTAAGAAGTTGAATGGGAAATAATCTAACTAAATCGGCACAAATAAGAATAAATTAATGAATTGAATTTGAATAAATTATTACAAATACTTTAATTAATATTACTTTAATTAATAAAATTACCAGAGCAGAGTAAGAGAATAATCTATCGACTAAAACAGCACGGATAAGAAAAAATCAGAGTTAAAATTATTATTTTAAATACTGTACATTAATCGTTACACTTACCGGCTATTAAAGGACTAACTAGAAAGTAATATATAGACTAAATTGTCATGAATAAAAAGAAATTAAAGGCGTAAAAGAAATTAGTGATTACTTCAATATATTGATCAATAAATAAATATAATACTTCCGGCTGAATAATTAAATAAAAAATAGTTGATCTTAATATTTAGGGCGGTGAAATTGTGCTAAATGCTAAAAGATGCGAATAAAAAAGAGAGTGTAATAAAT